TCGTTCCTCACCATTTAAGGGACGAACAAAAGCAAATGAGACTGGATGCATGTGGCGAACTTATCGACAACACTGATGCTGACCCTGCGTTCCTGGATAGGATAGTCATGGGAGACGAGTCTTGGTGTTATCAATATGACCCTGAAACCAAGCATCAAAGCTCCGAATGGCAGTCTCCAAGTTCACCAAGGCAGAAAAAATTTCGATTTGAAAAGTCCAAAATCAAGGTCATGTTAATCGCTTTCTTCGATATTGATGGACTCATTCATCACGAATTTCTTCCTCCTACATGACTATCAATGGACAGTTCTACACAGAAGTTCTTGACCGACTTCAAAAATGAATTTGTAGAGTGAAGCCTCATTTTGAGCAAAATGGGAGTTGGCTGCTGCTACATGACAATGCCCGCCTACACATTGCGTTGCCTGTGAGGCGATTCTTAGCCCAGCATAGTGTCATTGAAATGCAGCATCCAACATACTCTCCAGACCTAGCACCCACAGACTTTTTCCTGTTTCTTAAGCTGAAAAATTCACTGAAGGGAACAAGATTTCAGGAATTCGAAGCCATCAAGAAAACTGTAACGTCACTATTAAAGAGCGTTCCAAAAGAGGACTTTAAAACTTCTTTCTGAAATTTGTACAGCTGAGCTCCGCGAGTCCTGGAAATTAATAGCCGGACCTTGTATAAAATCGTGAATTTCAATTAGAGTTGTGTGATAAGCATCTCTCTCTTTGAAAGCTGTCAGAAATAGATGCAGAGTAAATATTTGTATAACTGATGACTTTCAGCAACATTTGTTCACTTAGTAAAAGTTCTTACAATTCATTTGGAGTCTGCACATAATTTTGCCTTACCCATGTTTCCAAGCAGTTTGGTAATACTTTTTATGAGCAGAAGTCCTAACATTAGTTTTAGGCTTTTCTTTTGACCATTGGTTTTTTTGTCTTTTCCAATAAAGCAATAAATGTCAATCTCATTTTCGTTTTCAGAATGCATTACGATTTCTGAATCAGTATCATGAGAACTAAAAAATTTATTATAACTTTCAGCATCAGTTTCTTCAACAGTTGATACATCTTCTAATAATTTTTCCTAACATAACATTTCTTCCTTAGAGGATGAATTACGCAACATGTTTGCAACTTTTTGTGCTACCACAAATGAACTACGTTACAGCAATGAAAATAGGCACACTGGGTCTAAAAGACCCAATCCGATCAAAACAAAACTTCGAATCAAATTTCCGGCGAAAAACTTTGGAAACATAAAGACGATGGCCTTGAAGGAGACTGCACTGAACCACAACCACTTGGAAAAAATAGGTCCATTGGACCCACTGTGTGCGATATAGGGTTGGGTTAGTTGAATTTGGTATATATATATATTTAATATCTCTTTTTTATTAAACTTATTTGATTCTTAATTTCATATTTCAAAATTTAGGTTCATTCAAAAGAAATTCACCCCCATTTTTGATTATTTTAAAATTTGTATTTTTAAATAATTTTTATAAATTTTTTGAAAAAAAATTTGAATTATAATCTATAAAGGTTTTACCATCATCTTAAAGTAGATGTATTTTTAAGCATACCTGCAAAACATTAGAGTTTCTTATTTTCTTACAATTTTCAAAGATATACATTGGTGCATTTTAAAATTTAGCATATTTGTTATAAGCGATAAGTGCAAATGTGCTTTATGCACTTGCTTAAAATTTGGAAGAATGTACGATGCACCTTTATTTCTGCTCATGCAGAAAGATAAAAGGGAAAGGAAAGTAGGTTACTATAAATTAAAAAGTTTGCCAAGTGAATTATTCTTGGCACAAACTGAAAAAATACGCCAAGATAAATTTTTAAATTTCTCCATAAATTTCTCACCAAAAATTACAAAATTTAATATCTACACATAATTTCAGTCATAGAATCGAAATATGGAAAAAATTGGTATGTTATTTCAGAAAAAGTCCGATTTTGTGTCAAAATACCTGTGTTAGAATAATGCTATGTATAAATCTAATATATATCCTAAGTCATGCTTTCGAGACATGGAAAATGCAAGTTAAATTTCGACAATCGGTCTAGTAGAACAGGAGATATACACTCATGTCCATAAATTAAGGATAATGCAAAATCAGGCAAAGGAAGAGTTAGAAGCAAAACAAATTTGACATATTTGTAAAGCTTATTTATTAAACAAAAGGTAAAGAGCAAAAAAAGATGCTATATATTTGATATTATTAAAAAAATTAGTGATTTTTTCTCTCTGGAGCAAATTACAAAAAAAAAAAAAAAAAAAAAACTATTTACAAAAAACCAATATTACATGGTTGGTATGATTGTTAATACATGTATGTCTCCCAGACGATGCAATAGAGTCCGTACAACGCCTAGGCATGCTGGGTATCAAATTAGCGATCTGATCTTGGGGGATATTACACCACTCAAAAAGCGTTGCTCTCCAAAGTTCCAGTAGACATGTAGGAGGAGGTTGACGGGCTGCAACTCGTCGACCGAGCATGTGCCATACGTGCTCTACTTTATTCAAGTCCAGTGAGAATGCTGGCCGGCCAGTCCATACGGGTGATATCCTCCGATTGAAGGCATTCGCTTACGATGTTTGCACGGTGAGGACAGGCATTGTCATCCATAAACACAAATTGTGCGCCCATGGCGCCCCGAAACAAATGTACATGTTGTTCCAGAATGATGTCCCGATAGATTTGGCTTGTCATGGTTCCAATTTGAACATGCAGGTCAGTTCTGGAACCCAGAATAATTCCACCCCAAACAAGCACTCCTGCACCACCGTAACAGTGTCATTCAATGATGTTTTCTTGGTGGTAACGGGGTACCTGGAGCTCTCCATATGAAAGTCCGGCGAGAATCAGACTGCAAGCTGAACCTGGACTCGTCGGAAAACATCACACAAGCCTACTGTTGCGGTGTCCACAATGCATGCTCTCTACTCCAGGCTAACCGCAGGCGACAGTGAGTTGCAATAAGTGGAACGCATCTGACAGGTCTACGAGCATATGGACCAATCTGCCCTAAGCGTCTGTACATGGTCTGCCTTGAAATTGTCATACCAGTGGCTGAAGAGAGCTGACGAGACAGGTCTGAGGCTGTGCTCCGCCTGTTTCTTTTGGCAGTAAATGCCAAATACCGGTCCTCATTCGGCGTTGTAACTCTGGGGCGACCTGTGCTGTAACATCTACTCACATTACCATCATCTTGGAATCGTTGCTAAAGCCTGGAGATGACACTCTGGGCAATTCCAGGTTCGTCTGATACTTCCAGTTGGATACGCCCACATTCCTGACGGCCGATAATTTTACCACGTAAAAAATCATCCAAATGCGTCCTTTGTGTCATAACTATTCGGTTATAGCACTAAAATGCTTATAAAGCGCCTGCGAACAATTTTACTTCTTTGCCTGTAATCCTTATATATCACTCTCTTACGCTCTGGTCTCTGTGACGTACCATCGGTGTCATCTGGTTACTTCCTGAAATTTGCATATGATTCTTGAAGATGTGTGTAGTGATTTTACAGGTGATATATTTATTTTAGAGTTTGATTTCCGCGTGACTCCGAATCCTTAATTTATGGACATGAGTGTAGAACTGTCCTCTCTCCTTGTTTTTTTTTGGGGGGGGGGGTGCAAGGTGTGTGTGTGTTAAGCAGACTGCTAAATACAGCAACAGCTAGACTATTTAAAGTTGCCACTAGAAAAGTCCCATTCAGATTTGTGCTGGAAGAAGTTTTTCTTAGAAGAGTTTCATATTTTGTTTTCAATTGATAGACTTGTAAGGCTATTACAAATATATATACAGTCAAAAGTCGTTAATCTGGACTCGTGGGGCTTCGGAGATTCCAGTTTATCGATTTTTCTGGATTATAGATCATCAGTTTAAATCTGGTAAGATGGCATGCAGAAATTATAAAATTAAAAATATGAAACCGTAATTTATGAAATAAAGAACAATTATGATCTAAAGGGCATCAAAATTTACAAAAAAAAAAAAAAAGCTTAATATTTATTTTTTTACTATATTAAGCATTTCTTTCGACGGTTCTCCTTAATTCTATAAACAGATATAATTTCTTGTTCAGTTACCAAGTTCCGCTGTTCAAGTCCTATAATTGCTGTGTCGAGAATACCGACTAATTTTTCAATCAAAATTTTTTCTTTTTCAATAACCTCTGTGTCACTTTCTTCACTATCGGAAGTGAATTATAGTGACGAGGTATTTGATTTAAATCATATCAAAGACGGAGAATACGAGATGAAATACTACATTTAGTAAGGAAAAAAAACATCTGCCCTGAAGATAAGGATAGTGCTGACAGATCAACTTCCAATTGATTGCGCGCTGCGGTGCCCCCCCTCCCTGGCCGTAGAGCAGCGTGAAATTGATAAACAGATTTCGGAATGTTTAGAGAAACAAAGGATATGCCTTTATCCATTCTTTGCAGCAATTCCGCTTTTTGTTTGATGGACATCGAAAATACTTTCACTTTGTATATCCTTTGGGAGCTCCAGCATCAGAAATTCTATTTGACATAATCGGAAGTTCAAGCTTACTTTTATAAAATTGCTCTAACAGTCTGCAAAAAATAATAAGCCGGATCCAATTCGAAGATTAAGGAACAACGCAATCTGCAACATTAACTGAGATAATTAGATAATTTTAGCTTATACCGTCCGTTATACATCAAACGCACATACGTAAACGTATTATGCGCATCCGTAAAGTCAATACGACGCATGCACAGAAAGTTTGTAGCTTTGAGGTCCGGGTTATAGATCATTCTGGATTATGGGTGTCCGAATTAATCAAAGTTTAGTATGTATGTAAAATTCTTGTTATTATAGTTAGCAAATTTCTGAAAATTATGATTTTTTAATTTTTGATTATATGGTTACTGTACTTGGAAAAACTATATTTTCTTGTTTTTCAAATGTTGAAATTAATTCATTTTAAAATTTTTAGGCTATGTTCATCATTTTACATATTGTGAAAGGTACTCCTTGGGAAACAGCTGATCAAGGAAAAGTACGGTACCTTACACACTGGGAACAGATTGATAATGGAGAGCAATTTACAGCAACAAGAAAGTTTTTGACTGTAGTGCCAATTATCTTGTATGCATAGAAACCTTTTGTATATCCCATAATTATTTTTGCTTGTTAATTCTGTCACTTTTTAATTTAAAGTTGTAGGTTATATTTACAGTTCACCATACTTCAAGAATATCCACATATTCAGAAAGATATTCCAAAATGTGTACTTAATGCACCTGAGAATACTTATAAGGCAGTCTTATTTGAAATGAAATAAAATTATTATCTGATCACCTTTCAGGTAACATCCGTTGAGACACATATGCTTGTTCCAATGCTTTTCCATTTCTCGAATCTTCAGGAGAAATGTCTCGTTTAATAACTGTCATAGGCTAACCATTATATCATAATCAATAATTTGAATGGTCTGAAAAATTTGACTTCCTAAATCCATTTTGACCTGGTAAGGTGATTGTGGTATGGTAAGAATCGGTTTCTTCACTAAAAGTGTAAGATCTATCTCTACTTATCCACACAGACTAACTTAGATCCTACAATGAACCTGGCGAATTCTCGCACAGGCGTGAATTAAATACCAGCACGGAAGAAGGGTGCAAAATAACTCTTTATTAACTCAAACTAAATTAACAGAAAGCACGGACTTCGTGCATTACAAAACACCGTTCATTTGTGATAACTAAACGTAGACTAGAATACAAATCAAATCTGAAAAATAAACGAGTGCAAGAACGCACTTCAAAATTACTCTTAAGAGATGACTCACAGAAATCTAACTGGCGTGATACTAAATTGATAAGGCTAAAAGGCTCACTAGAGTGACCGCGAAATAACAACGAAATGTCTGCTGGGCTAGCGAAACACGCTTTGAATAAACTGAGATAATCACCCGATCAAATAGCACTTCACTTAACTTTAAATTTACGTCCTGGTGAGAGATTGTGAGGGGAAGTTTGAGAAGTTGAGAACAGGAAAACTTAAAATAAATTTGTTATGCAAACCCTACAAAAGTTCCTTCAGTATCATGTCAGGGAGCATTGTTGTTGTGTATAGTCCACAGGGTACTTCATTTCACATATCATTGTCTTCCAAAATATTCCTCTGTACACTGCAAAAAAAAAAGAGGGACAGTTCTATATCTCCCATTCTACTGGGCCGATTGACGAAATTCAAATTGCGTTCTTCATGTCTCGAAAGCGCGACTTAGGATATATATTAGATTTATTTATAGCACTATTCTAACATAGGTATTTTGACACAAAATCGGACCTTTTCTGAAATAACATACAATTTTTTTTTACATATTTCGATTCTACAATTCAAATTATGCCAGACTGCAAAGTTTTGTAAAAATCGCATAAGTAGTTTTTAAAACATTACCTCTCAAAATTTTAGCTCCTCAATGTTAATTGAATTTGGTATATATTTATTAATTTTATTATTAGGTATCTCTTTTTTATGAAACGTTTTGATTCTTCCTTTAGCATTTCAAAATTTTAAGTTCATTTCAAATAAAATTCACATATTTTTTTATGTTTTATTTTAAAATTTGTATTTTTGAATAATTTTTATAAATTTTTCGAAAAAAATTCTGAATTATAACCTATAAAATTTTTACCCTCATCTTAAAGTAGGTGTATTTCTAAGCATACCTGCAAAAAATTAGAGGTTTTTTTATTCAAAATTTTCTAAGATATACATAAATTTACATATTTTCATGTTTTGAAATTTGGTATCTCCTTTTTTTAGAGATAATAACGCCAAATGTGGTTTATGGATTTTGTTACAGTGAATTGCCACAGCTATTTTTAACCTTAAATTTCAAACAAATTTTTGCAGAGAATTAATTATATGAAATGTTTTTTCTCAATGATGCGTAACAAATATTTATTAATACTATATGAAAAGTTATTTTTTTAATTAAAGATGATATTCAAATTTTAAACTTTTTTTAAATTTCTTTCTTTCTTTTTTTTTTTTTTTTTTTTTTTTTTTTTTTTTAATATTTGTAAGAGTACATTTTATCTTCTCCTTGTTATCGTCTGCTACTTTACTTTAACTTCATTTTAACTTTACTTAAAGTTCGTTTGATGTTTATTTTCACAAAGTTTTTAAGCAAGCAGGAGGTTGATAGTTTGGGTCATGTCTCAGCTTTAAAATATATATATATAAACATAAATTTTTACATGAATCCTCGTAGAAAGAATGTTTTAAGTAGTAATTTTCTCTCGTGTTGTAGATTATATAAAAAACATGTTCTTTAATGTAGAAATTATTAGTCTTTAAAATTCTAAATAATATGATTTAAATTGTTTGCACCTGATATAAGAATCGGGTCACTCAGGAAAAGTGCTGCTAGAGTGGTTTATTTCTTTTTTATTTAACAAAAATCTTTTAATTAAAATATTTATCCTTTGGACTTTGCTTGAAACTATATTTATAGTTAAAATGTCTAGGAAATGAAAAGCTATCTTCAGCTGAAGCGCATTTGATGCAATGGATATTTTAAAAAATTTGACAAGAATGCAGAATTTATCGCAAATTCTTAATTTTCTTGTGTCAGCACTGAAAAAAATTTAGAAGTAAAAAAGAAAATTAGGGGAAAAAAGCAAAAATTTAAAGGGCAATCTACTTCAAGGAAGTTGGTTGTTCAAAGAGAAAACACTTGGACGTGCACAGCAGCAATTGAGTTAGTACTAACGGAAAAGACAAAAAACATATCATTGCAGATTAAATTGAAATACTGGTTTTCGACTATATGGTTGTATAAATTTAAATTACGCCATAGAACATCATATCGTATCATAAATGGAATATCCCATGATTTCTCAGTTGAATTATTTGAAGATTCAGGAATTTATCCAATGACATTCGTTATAAGATATTGTACTCCTGCCTTCTTAGTGTGCCTTCGTTGTGTAGTGGTCTGCATGTTTGGTGCGTATTCGAGAGGTCCGTGATTCGATTCCCAGTGAGGGCATTGTTCATTTTTCATTTCCCCTGCTTCAAAAAAAAAAGTCTCTACTGGGGCACCCGAACTAATGATGATTCTTCACCACCAGGATTTGGTGACCGAGTCTCCTAATCCCTGGTCGCCCTTTAAAAGGGGAAAGTTATTCTCCTGCCTTATTAGCTTGCCTTTGTGGTGTAGTGGTCAGTACGCTCAGCGCATATTTGAGAAGTCCATGGTTCGACTCCTGGCGAACTCGCTGCTCATTTTTCAAGTCTCCTGCTTCCAAAAAATCGTAATGTCTCTAAAACATATATTGATATCATTAAAAGACGTTTTCTCTTTTAATGGAACCAGTTTTTTTCTTTCACCTCATGACTTTAAAATGCTTAACCTCTAAAGACTGATAAAGGCTGTGATCAAATACTGATGAAATGGATTATTACATTACAGCAAAGCAAGGCTACCTGCCTAAAAGGAAGGATGCATTCGTAAAGAACTTTCTAAAGGAAACCAGCTGGCATACACGTTACACATGAGAAAAACCACGAAGACGCTTATGCAAACAGTCCATTTGCTGGGATTCAAACCCCAGAGCGAACTGCTAGTGTTCAACGACTTTACCATTCGACCTTTATGAAATGGAAGGCGATAACTTTATTTAAAATGAATATCAGAAAGACCAAGATGTTTTGAAAATTTGGATGCTTATTAACATACTTGCAGAATGCCTGAAGAGAAAGAGTAAGCCATTAAGAAGAAAAAATTAATTTTTACCTAAAATTTAGTATTCTTTTTTTTTTTTTTTTAATTTAAAACTTTTTTAATCTTATGATATTTGATAAGAATGATAAAATTGTGTAAAGCAATGGGTACAATGCTAAAACTGTTTAAAGCAATGTATGCAAGTATTCCTAAGTTAAATGTCGGTGATACATCTCTCTTATTTATATATCTTTTCTGAACGGAACTCTGAAAGGTGTGTTAACTGTGCTTTACTGCATTTTCTCTTTTAATATATGCAGTTTTCAAATGCATCATAGTCTGGGTCACAAAGTATTCTTCCGAAAGAAATGTGATTCAAATAAATAAAAATCAAATTCTGGAAAATTTATATTAAAAAATATATTTAAAATGCTCAGTTCGAATGAATAAATAGAAAATTTAAAAAAGAATTTATCTGAAGAGACAATGCAATACAAACAATTAAAATAAAAGTAAAAAAAAATTAAAAATTACCTAAAATAATAACTATGACTAGAAATATAGTATAAAAAAACTATTTGACAAAAAATAAATAAACAATGCACTTTTTTTTTTTATTTAATCTACACAGTTTTTGAATGAGTAAATAGACATTTTTAAAGCAATTATTTGAAAGAAACTATGCAACTTAAACAATTAAATTAAAATGAATTCAAAAAAAAAAAAAAGAAAAAATTACTTAAAATAATAACAATTATAATTAAAAATATAATATAAAGAACATTATTTGAAAGAAGGAACAACAGTGAATTTTTCCGCTCATGCACAATGTAAAAAGGGAAATGAAAGTAGGTTGCCATATATAAAGAAGTTAGCCAAGTGAACTTATTCTTAGCCCAAACTGAAAAAAAAAAAAGCGGCAGCATAAACTGTTGCGTTTCTCCGTAAATTTCGCACCAAATTTTACAAAATTTAATATTTAGGTTTAATTTGAGTCATAGAATCGAAATATGTAAAAAAATATATATATATATGTTATTTCAGAAAAAGTCCAATTTTGTGTCAAAATACCTATGTTAGAATAGTGCTATATGTAAATCTAATATATATCCTAAGTCGCACTTTCGAGACATGAAGAACACAATTTTAATTTTGTCAGTCAGCCCAGTAGAACTAGAGATATAGAACTGCCCCCCCTTTTTTTGTGCAGTGTACATAAGCACTTCTGTGTAGTGCACAACATTGAGAGTGGACTTTGCAAAAATTTGTAATGGACAGTGCTGAAGTTATTAAAGAAAAGAATTTTTACTACCTTGACTTTTGATTTACTGGCTTCTTTTTTTTTTTTTTTTTTTCAGAGAACTCTGAGATATTCACTTTCAGATCATAGGCATTTTATACGTATCTCTCACAGAGACTAACATCTTCTGGCAATGTTGATAGCATGTCTTTTCTGCAGACTTTCACAATACATTAATATTTTACTTCTTATAAAGTGAAATTTATCTTGAAAAATGTAGTGTTTGTCATAATAAAAAGATATAAAATTAAAGTAATTCAAAATCTCAAAGTATTAAGATTCAGGATGGTCATAAGTAAGTAACAATTTTATCACAGGCAAAAGAACAAACTTTGTGCAGATTAAGCTGTGAAAGTTCAGGATAATTTTGTAGCCTGAGATTAACAATTTCTCAAAAGGTTTTGAAGCCCAAAACTTAGGCTAACATTTTGTTATCCTATGTAAAACAAATCTAGTAGATACAAACCAGTTTCATCAGTAATTTAACCAGTAATTATTATATAGCTAAATAAATATTATATGTATGTTTACAAGTTGATGGAGCAGCTTGCATGGCCACTTGAACGTGTTTTATTTCTGAACAAAACAATTTACGAGAAGTTTGTTCTTAAACTGGATTATACAGTGGGAAGGATCCAATTTGCACCTTTGATCTTGATCACATTTGTGCCTTTTTAAATTATTATGACAATGTAATTGATAAAAGAGAAGTAAGCAGCAGTGTGTTCGCAGGACGGCAAACAAGAGCGGGAGTGTGATATGTGTAAGATGAAAGTTTAGTGCATAATTATTTCATTTTACATGTAGATGTATTTCTATTGGTTAATAATAAGTTTCCATTCCCAAATTTGAAATCATTATTGTCTGAAGTAAGTATCTGAGCTTATACATCGTCTAAAACGTTTTTGTAATTGGAAATGCAGTAAAATCTTGATTCACAAACTTAATTCATTTCTGAAGGCCATTTCTCAGCCAAAATGTTCATAAAACAAAATGATTTTTTCCATAGGAATTAATGTAAAATACATCAATTTGTTGCTGAATTGCTTATTTAAAATTTCAAGAGTACTTTGTGCACAAGTTCCTAATACAAAATTATTGCGTCTAAAACAAAAAGATAAATACAATATTAAGAAACTAAATTAAATGAAAACTTAATTTTAGCCTACTGTACAAAGGAGAGTAGTCTGCAGAAGTGCAAAATGATGAGAAAGATCAGTGAAAAAGCTGTTATTGTTTGGATCCCTTTCCTTAAAAATGTCATGTCACTTTTCCTTTGACTCTTAGCACCACTCAGTTCTGCTTGAGACTTGCTGGACTTCCATTTCGCTGAAAACTTACCCCATGTGAAGCCGTGTAAGTTTTAAAATGTCACAAAAATGAAATGTGGTAGTGCTATTGAAAATACTTATTCTATAGCTTGCTGCTTCTTTATCAGTGCACTATTGTTACATGTTGAGCTTATTTTTATGGTTCTCCAGTAACTTCCTCTCATCTTCACTGTTAACTACTAAGCCCCTGGTTTTACCTATGAACACAATATCACAAATAACAAAAAAAGTTCTAGTTGTCGAAGTATTCAGCATCTCTGCAACCTAATCTGGCCATAATTTCTTCCAGGCCAAATTCATAGTCCTGTAAATCAGTAAATTCACAATCTAAGGTTCCGCTGTATATGTGTACAACCAGAGGTTGTGAAAATGTAGACTGTGTATGGACTTGTTCTGTGGTGTATATTTTTTGTTAATTGAAATCTTGTTTAAACCATTTATATTCTAGCTAAGTTATCAGTGCTACTAGTGCAAAATCAATACTTCCATTAAAGTAAATGGCATTTTGGGATATACGTTATATTACAAGCACTAATTCCTTCATTACATAGCATATTTTGAAGAAAATATCCTTTGACACTGAAGCTGCTTAAATGCTAGCAAACTGTAGAGACTCTACATAATTCCGAAAAATGGAATGAAAGGATTAATTCAAGGTTGCAAATTTTGATTTGGTTTTGGTTTTGGATTAGGATTACTTTTCTGTATATTTTTTGCATAACTTCTTATGGAAGTTGGTTATTTAACTATGAAAAATTATTAACATTTAAAAAAAATTCAGACATTTGTATATTAGTTGCCTCTTGTTTATACATTATATATTATGCAAAAAATGTTGCCGCCAATTCCTGTGAGTTGTTGACAACCCTAGAAGCTGTTTTGGATTTTTCTTGGAGGGGGGAGGAGAAGGTAAGATTTTAGGTGGTAAGAGAGGGTGAGGATCAAGTGGTGACATGATATTCTGATATCTTCTTGTTATAGACTTCATGCCTCTTGGTGTCTCCTAAGATTTAAAAAATTTTGCCATCCCTAAATTCTGCTTCCCAGTGCAATTGCATGAGCTCTGCTTACTCTATATTTTGATTAGTTTAAAATTATAACTTATAGTAAGTTTCTGGTCTTTTTCATTTAATACTCTTTTTTTTCCCTCCCCCTACAGAATTTTTTTGCATTCAATTTTTAAGAGCGTTTTTCTCTTCGTCACCCTTAGACTAACAACTTCAACTATAAAGAGCCGTTCCCACTGGGATTTATCTGAGCTAACAAACACAATTGACATAGCCAACCCATCTCCAAAACCAGTTTTTTTTCCATAGGGCAACAAGTTGAAAAATCTGAACTGCAGGTACAGCGGAGCTAGTTGACATATAGAACTAACTTTGTTACCCAGTGGGAATGCCCCTTTAGAGTTAGCTTTTATGTTGTTTATCATTAAATTTGACAACACTAATGCGGTTTTTTGATAGTGTATATCCACCAGTATGATTATAAAATGCCATGTAATTCTGGTTCATTAAATTTTGTTTATTTTTCTTGTTAACCTATTAAATTGATAAAGGGATATATATATAAAGAAGATCAGTAACATTTTAGGAATAACCTTCATTTTCTGAAGTATCCTGGTGTTTTTTGTGTTTTGAATGCAGCTTTAAAAAGCATTTAAATGTAGTAAATTCAGCAGTTTCCAAATAAATAAAATTGATTTTATTCAAAATGCTTTAAAATTATCATTAAGTTAAAAATTTAAAGGTACGAAGTTTTTGAAACTAATGCCTTTAATTAACAATGCATTTGAACTCTATGCTTTTCTACACTGCTAATATTATTTTTTTATATACAGTCAAAAGTCGTTAATCCGGACACGTCGGGTGATTCCGGATTATCGATTTTTACGGATTATAGATCATCAGTTTAAATCTGGTAACATGGCATGCAGAAATTATAAAATTAAAAATATGAAACCGTAATTTATGAAATAAAGAACAATTATGATCTAAAGAGTATCAAAATTTACAAAAAAAAAAAAAAAAAAAAAAAAAGCTTAATATTTATTTGTTTACTTTATTAAACATTTCTTTCAATGTAAGTTGTTTAAGTTGCTTCATTTTTTATGTGATAATACATTCTCTTTAATTCTATAAACAGACATAATTTCTTGTTCAGTTACAAAGTTCCGCTGTTCAAGTCCTATAATTGCTATGTCCAGAATACTGACTAATTTGTCAATCGAAATTTTTTCTTTTTCAATAACCTCTGTCACTTTCTTCGCTATCGGAAGCGAATTATAATGACGAGGAATTTGATTTAAATCATATCAAAGACAGAGTACATCGAGATGAAATACTACATTTAGCAAGGAATTATAAGCGGAATAAAATAAAAACATCTGCCCTGAAGATAAGGATAGTGCTGACAGATCAACTTCCAATTCATTGCGCGCCACCGCGTTAAAGATAAACAAACGTTAAAGTTTAGATAAACAAAGTATATGCCTTTATCCATTTTTTGCAGCAATTCCACTTTTTGTTTAATGGACTTCAAAACATACTTTCGCTTTGTAGATCCTTTACATATTAGTAAATATATATATCAGAAATTCTATTTGACATAATCGAAAGTTCAAGCTTACTTTTATAAAATTGCTCTAACAGTCTGCAAAAAATAATAAGCCGAATCCAATTCGAAGATTAAGGAACAATGCAATCTGCAACATTAACTGAATTAGATAATTTTAGCTTAGCTTATACCATCTGTTATACATTAAACGTGCATTCATAAACGTATTTTGCGCATGCGCACACGCATAGTCGCAGCCGTAAAGGTGTTACGCGCATGCGCAGAAAGTTTGTGGCTTTTGAGGTCCGGATTATGGGTGTCCGAATTAACGACTTTTGACTGTATATACATTAGTTGTCTTTCGAATTTTAACTCAAATTTTTTATTTTCAGGTTTTTCCTGACGAGTTTTTATACTAAATATGACTCGACACATTTTTTTGTGAATTTTGCATTCCTTATTCTTGTACTTTTGCCAAAAATGCCTCAGTTTCACATGGTGAGGCTTTTTGGAATTAATCAATACTGAAAAATATTTCAGAGCTGTTAGCCAGTTCAACTATTTTTATGCAACTGTTCTAATTAACACTTTATAGGAAAACTAAAGAACTGTTGTTACCTTGATGAAGTTTTATATTCTTTTTAAGACGTTAAAGGTTGTATATATGTAATATAGTTGTGAGTGAAACACATTTCTCAAGGACAGTTTTCTGCCAGATAGCCAGTAAAAACTAACAAGATACTTTAAAATATATATATGTGTGTGTGTGTATGTTGAATGTAGTTAAAAATAAGATGTTTTTTATACCGGTTATTGCATTTCATAGTATTTTTATTATTTATAGCATTTTAATTTACTTAATTCAAATTAGAAAGGAAATTCAATATGTTTTGAGTAATAAATGCTAAAATACATCTTTATGATATATTTTTATTTAAAAATTATTAGATGTTATTTTAGATGTTTTAAGAGAGAGAGGGAGAACAGGATTGTTGCAATTTTAGTGGACCTGAGATCACACTCATGATATTTCAGCATTTCATGTTTAGTGTGTATCTCTATTAACTCCTAGAATTCTCTCACTCTGTGTTTGCTTCGTTTTAAAACTATTCTGGGGAAAGGGCAAAAACTGAGATATAATTTTGCAAATTATATTGAGAAAATAAATATCAAGTGTAAAATATATTTATTATGTACCTCATTTACTAAATTTTATATCTATCTTCTTAATAAGCATAGATATATTTTTAAAAATTGTATTCTTAAATGTATTTTCTTGCTTTAATTTAAAAACCTTTAATATCAAATTTCTCCTCCTTTTTCTTTTTATTCTGGTATGATGGAATTGAGAGCCTTTCAGGATTTGGATTCAAGAAAATTTAATTATCTCTAACTTTCAATCAAATATTAAGTTGAATAGCAAGTAGCATATGCCGAATATTTCTCCCGTAGTTAAACATGAAAAGCAGCAAACTGGTGTTTTATATAAGGATGGGAGGGGGGTTGAAATTAGATTATATTGAACTAATTACTGAATAGATGGAAATTCATGTTTAATCTGAAGGATTTTTTATATGTTTTTGTATAATTTCAAATCAGTTTAAATGAACTATGCACAGTGTGCTATTTAAAATGAAGTTTAATTAATATAATTAAATTTACATAGATTAAATAAGATATATGCATAGATAATTAAAACCATCGTAATAGCTTTAAATTGTCTTTCATATAAAAATGTAGTTCGGTAATGAACATTTATGTTTTCAAGAGACATATTATGTTTATTAAAATAATATTAACTAAGTCAAAAGTGAAATTTTAAGATGAAAATTCTCACTTTTAAATTAGTTGATATTTTTAGGATTTATTTGAGATTACATCTGAGAGTTTCTGCGATTTTTAACCCTAACCCTTTCGTGACGAGTTTTTTTTTTTTTTTTTACAACAGAACAATTGTGATAACATAAACTATGAGTAGGGCATACTAGAATGCTAAAAACTAAGATGTTATATTTTTAGAAAAATTTTGAACACTGATTTAGGACCGCGGCATATATGTCCCATCAGTCCTGAACGCTAGGACATATGTGTCCCAGTAGTCTTCAATGAGTAATTTTGTAAAAAAAACCAATGATTTTCTAGTCATAAAAATTTAATTATGAATGGTATGGTTTGATACAATCAATGCACTATGCGACATTACACATCGTGCACATTATTTTAGTGCGTGATTCCTTCTTTTGTTGTGCACATTTACGGCACCGCCATCATGTTTTTTTTTTTTTTTTTTTTTTTTTTTTTTTTTTTTGTTGTTGTTGTTGTTGTTACTGGCAGATGGTCACCAACATTGAGTAAGCTTTGTGATGTTTTGGATGGGCGTCCAGTTCCTCTACGGCATTGATACTATGCGTTGAACTTTCCGGACGCCATCAAGGCTTCTGCAAGAGGTACAATAAAATCAAGAAGTGGTGTTTCAATGAAATCAAGAAGTGAGCTTTCACTTCGGCACTGTTTGAAAGTTTGTTTCAGGCACGAAACAACCTCGTCAATATAATATGTTTTACTTGCATTTTCTGGCTTTTCTGGTGCTGCAAAATATAGTTTCGACAGCAACGTTTTACATCTGTCTCTTGAAATAGCATTTTTTTATTGCTATGTTTCCCAAAGAAGAATTAGATGACCAATAATGAGAGAATTTCGGCACCCTTTTGTAAGACATGACAAGCATGCATCCAAAGACAAACATAATTTCAGAGGGGTTTGTTGGGTAAATTGTTTGTTCTAACTTTTCGAGTCGTTGGTTTGTGCATTGAGAGATCCAAATCATAAGACTTTTTGGAAATATCTTGAGAAACACGTCCAATTCGGTAGCTGAACGATTTAAGTTGAATAACAAACTAGGCGATGACTCTGTTGGAATTGTCATTCGAGGTTGGAAAGTTGAATCTGCATGAAACCATAAGATTGGTTTGCAGCCTGAAGAATTAGCTGATGGTATATCTCATCAACTGATGAAAGTGATGCCGTATCAGTATCACTCAAAGCACCGCTGTTCTTTGTATTTTGGGAAATGGTATCATGATCGATATCCATTTCACACTCGTCTGAATCAGATGAGTACTGTAAATTGTGTGTTGGATCTTGAAAATCGTGATCATCTATTTCATCATCCAAATCAATATCTTTGTCATCTGACTCTTCTAAAATTTTTTGATTTCTTCATTAGTAAGTCCCCGGCGTCGAGGCATTATAGATTGAATTAATATGTGCCTAAATTAAAAATAATAAGCAACTATTTTAAAAGTAACTGAAAAATATAATATCTAGAGAAATGATCACATAGGACTGTACATTTCAATGTGTTCCCACTATCCAAGACGAGAGGGACACATATGTCCCGATAATAAAAACGGAAGTAAAACTTCGCCACTTACCAGTTTATTAGAGGTAATCCGCTTCATGAGTAACTTATCTGGCCTTAGATTTATGGATAAATCAAAATTTAATCGAAAATAGGCAGTATTTTCCAAAACTAAACTATTTACGTTCGTAGAGTATGGAATGAGCTGCTACAACACTTCGAAAGCATAGAAATTGCATTGTGTACAGTAGTGCCATCTATGTCCTGTGAATGAAAATATCTTCAAAATTCTTCATTTGGCAGGACTGGTGGGAAAGTCTCCCATTAGACAGAGAAGTGTTTCTATCCCAAAAGCATTTTTTGAAATTTGCATGGGACGTATATGTCCCATTAGGCACGAAAGGGTTAAGGTAAATTTTCTGTATTTTTCAAGATGAATGATGAGCAATGAAGCAGTCATAGTTTGGTATTGAAATATGATACAATTAATTTATTTTAATTTTATGTATATTCATGTTTGTGATTTAGATAATTTTTCCAGTGATCTCTAATTGATGTGTATGTAATTTTCAGGCTTAGAAAGCAGCTATTTATTTATTCCTTAATATATAGGTTGTATAAAACAGTGGTCTCAAGCTGGCAACCCCAAAGCAATTTTTTGCGTCCTGCAAATACATTTCATTTGTGTACTTCTTGCAGAGATTTTAAGATCCGAGTTAACATTATTGTCATTACTGCTATTAACAAGCATGAATAACACACTATAAAATCTACAAATAAAGCTAATTAATTTACAGTGTGATATAAAATTTATTCAAAGATATGAAGATGCAGATTTGATTAACTGTTTTTCACAATTTTAAAAAAATAAGCACATTCAATTACAAATTTTTGCATTAAGAATAATCACTTTGTTTGGGAGTACATTTATATGTGAACAGTTTTTTTTGGGGGGAAAAGGGTGCATCTACAATCCATGATGAAGATAATTTCTAGTAATACAGTACAAAGTCCGTAATCTGGACTTTGGCGATTCCGGATTAGGGGTTTTTCCGGATTATTGATCATCAATTTAAATCTGGTAAGATGGCTTGCAGAAATTATACAATTAAAAATATGAAACCGTAATTTATGAAATAAAGAGCAAAGGGTATCAAATTTTACAAAAAAAAAATGCTTAATATTTATTTGTTTACTTTATTAAACATTTCTTTCAACGCGCGCATATGCATAATGTATGCGTATTCTCTACACGCATGTGTAAAATTTGTGGCTTTGAGGTTCGGATTATTATAGATCATTCCAGATAATGGATGTCCGGATTACTGACTTTGTACTATATTTCTCTAGTGCACAGACATTATGCATACAAAATGTAAAATTATTTACATATGTATGTATGTGTTTTAATTTATCTACCGAAGAAAAATTTATTAAGAGAAAGAAGCTAAATTATTTTTTATTCTCAAGTTTTATCCCACTTAGAAATTTTTTGTTTATTTTTGGTTTAAAATAAGTTATTTAATGATTGATCAAACATATTACAGCTATTTTAAATAAATGTCAGTCTGAAACACTGATATATTTAACTGTCAGTTTGCTTGAATTACAAAGCATAATATCAACAAAAATATCTTGCATGTACCAAACTTTAGATTTCAGATAGAAAATAATAAGTTTAATCTTTTCTTTTTTGCATTATGATTATTATTGCCCGTTTATATTTTGATAAATATACAGTAAGCTAAATTTGAAATTTATTTAAAATATTTTTTATTTTATCATTAAAAAATTTTTATTTTGCTTACTTAAAAAAATTTAAGTTGTTTTGCCAATTGCACATTCTACCCACATGCAATTTGAGTTTGAGACCACTTGTATAAGGCATATTGCTTATCTTGAATTTCTTCTTCAGCTGTAGTGTACAGACAGTTTTGGTTAATTGCCATGGTTGTTTAATTTAAATTGTTTCAACCATTAGAGATCTGAGATTAAGGTTTCCTTTATTTATGAGATAGTTTGATGTTTAATTTGAGCATCCATCAAACTGGAAAGTTTCTTAGCATTTGGTATTTTTAAAAAATGTGGCATTTAGAGTTAGATAACTAACAGAAAACTCATGTTTGCAAAAATACTTGTCAAGCTGAGACTTTTTTAAACCATTAATTACATTTGAATAAATATCTTTTTGCATGATGCAAAGAAAAAAAATTGGTTGCCAGTCTTCTATATTATTTCTTTTGCTGTCAATTATAAAGTGAATAGCAAATCTCTCTGCCAAGATTTTCTCAAGCTCCTGGACACAAGATTCATTTTCCTTTACATTTTATGAGAAACAAATATGTACTTGAGTAATTTACTATGCATGCCTGCACTGAAAAAAAATAAAGGTATTATTTTTAGATTACTTTTGTAGATACATTATATAATTCCTAATTTTGCAGAGTATTAGATTTTTAAAATTCAAAAAATCATATTTTAGGCCATGGGAACAGCTTTATAATTACATAAGTTTATTAGTTACATAAGTTTTGTTAGCAATTTTAGTCCCAAATAATCAGAATTGACTGTGTATTGATTAAGATAATTACTCAGTGATTTAAGATGTGTAAAATGTATGTAGAATTGGAAAGCATACATGTCAATTTATTTCTATATTATGTAAATGTTTTATATGAAACTTGTAGATCACAATTGCTGTTTACATGCTATGCAGAGGCATGAAAGTTGTTAGCTGAAAACAGTATAAAACATTCTAAAAATGATTTGTATATGTCTGGATGTATAATATGCAACATTCAAAGGATTTTGATTAATTAATCTATTAATTACTGAGAATAACTATTTATTTTCTGTGAATGTCAAAAAATAAATAAGCAATGCAGATGATGTTCATAATAAGTAAATTACATTTTTTGACTAGATTTGGCAATCTTGTTTTGAAACATCAGAATTGTAGTGCTCATTTTTTATGGTGCGTGAAATTTATCACTAGTTTCACATACTAATAGCATTGAAAAAAAAAAAAAAAAAAAAAAAAAAAAAGAGGTCCATTTTTTAATAGCTTTAAATATCATCACTAACTTTGATTTAAAATTTTTTTTTCCCATTGAGTGATTTTCATTTTATAAAATTTTGGATATTTGTCAAGATGAGAAAACTGATATCAACTAAGAGAACTTTGTTTTTCAAGTCCAGCTATCATCTATTTTTGTCATTAAATGGGAGTATTTTTTATGTTATCATCTGGGCCAAAAGTTGTACTTCTTTAAACAGAGTTTGGAGTATCAGCAAGAATATAAATATCTGTTAATCTATGAAATTAAAAATGTCTACATAGAATTTTAGGGAGAGAATTGTATTTATATGGAAATTATCTTTCTAATTTCAGATGAAAGACCAACTTTTCAGAGGGGGGGGAAGATAATTTTCAGCTGTATTGTGATGAAACAAAGCTAAAAACTGATTCTCTTGAGATTTTCACAGAAAATCTTTTCCCAGTGTAGTAATAATGCCAGAAGGAATTGTATTTTGTTTTGGATTCTGGTCACATGTTTTTATTCCAATAATTGTAAAAAAATTTTTATTAGAAATCGTCATTATTTAAATTCATAGGTATTTCCATATAAATTTAAACTCATTGTTTAAAATTGTTTCACTCGTCTAGAGCCTACAATATTTTTAATATAATCTTGCAATGACCATTTTTAAGCAAAGAAAAGAAAATGTGGAACTGAAAGGTTATTGTATTCTGCAAGAATTTTATGCCACTGATTTTTGATTTCCAACTCCATAAATTATGATAACTTAGGAGTCATTCTTATATCTAAAACCAATTTAGATTTTCAGACTTATTTTTGCAAATTTTGGAGTAATTTTTTCCCTAGTAAAATGCATTTCTTAGATTTTGAAATTTTGTTTTATGTTTATAAATAGTTATTTCATCACTAACAAACAGATCTCGAGCAGTAGACTTTTGTAGGTTACAGAATACAGAAACATCACCTGATTTCATAGGATAGTGAAGATATGTCATAGTATCATGCAAGATATACCTCATACTACTAATAAAATGTTATCAAATAGGCCCTTCAGAGAATGAACTAGATTTGGAGGTTGATCAAGGGTAAAAGATAAGAGAACAAATATCAAGTAGCTTTGAACATCTACTGTATAAAGTTGTAGTCCATTTCTTCAAAATAGACAATTCAAAGGTATTTCATTCTCTCAAATTGTGACTCATAACCACGGTAATGATGAGGGAAATGTTAATATGACTTGCCTATTTTAAAGGAATAGATTATATAGTTTTTCTCACAGAAAAAGTGAAACTATAGTAAAAAAATCCATGCTTACACTCCATTCAATTATTATGAACAGAACTCGCAGTAAGCTACTACTATTCCATAGCTTTAGCCACTTGGTCATTATATATTTTTCTTTTAAGAAATGTCTTTGTGTGTACTCTAAATGACAAACAATTTGGTACAAAGCATCTAGATGTATAAGTATACTGGGAAAATTTACTAGTCATGTAAATGTTTACTTAAAGACAAATTAAATATTGCAAAAACACTTTCAGTACAGTGTTAAAAAACTGTTTTGATAAAATGTTAATGCTTTTTGCATATATTTTTAAGAAAGCTGTACGTTAAAAACTTGCTGATCTTATTACAGTAATGAAAAAATGTTCCAGCACTAAAAGCATATGAACAAGTTGTATTATGATATAATACTACTCACAGATGAGCTTTGAGGTTTTTAGATATATATTTCTAAAATTATAAAATTCTTTTTATATTTATAGTTGGTTTAATACATAAAGCAATCAGTTCTTTTGTTTATATTGTTCATATTAAGTATCTTTGTAAAACTGATAATTGACTGATGTTAGAAATAAATGTCAGATTTTTTTTTTTTAATTTTGGGTGCTTGTATATTTTTTTCCTTTTTATATTATGTTAAAATGTTATCTTCCTTAATACACAAAATGTACTGAAAATATATATATTAAATATACATAATATTCTTTAAAATATTATTTTAATAATTACCAGTGAAATTAATTTTTAAAAATTTAATATGCTGCTATTGGATATTTTAAACATGTTTGTGTTATATTTTGCTTTGGGTAATGAATTAGTAAGCATCCACTTTTTTTTTAGATGATGGCGTTAAAATTGGTTGTTTCATTTCTTCACTAGTTTTAATGGCATCACTTAAGGAATAACCAACTAACTAAAAGCATAGTCCCATACTACAAGGATTATGTACGTAAGGATATATTTAATTAAAATGAATAAATCTTTATTACAATTTATCTTAAAATGTTAATCTAAAAAATAAATCTTAAAATTTTTTCTAAAAGAGTATATATATATAAGAAAAACAAGTAGTAGTAGCTGAATACACATTTATAATAATCTAAATATACATATATTCTGCATCCAAATGACTTTATTACTGTTGTTCTTTAATACCTATTTCTGTGTAAATCCAAGAATTTTTGGAGCTTTTTCTGAAGCTAAATAATGGGAGGTCGCCTCGTATACGGATCTGAAATTTTGCAAAAAACTTAAGTATTTTTCTGTTAGCTGGGCAGAATTGATATGTTGCTAAATATCACACTTTTTTATTTCTTTAATTTATGGGGAAAATTGTAAATGAAATTTTTTGGTTTATTCAGATTACGGCAAAGCACACTAGGGCTATCTGCCTAAGGGGAGGGATGCCTTCGTGGAGGACTTTAAGGGAAACTGGCTCGTATACACGTTACACAGTAAATGAAATGAGTTAATTATTTAGAATAGTGGATACTGTATCAATGCCAAAACAAAAGACCTTTGTTTGGGCAAAAATTTGGGCCTGGCTTTTGCCACTCTTGAATTTGTTTTCTATTTACAGGAAATTAACGAGCAACCATATTGTTAAAATTTTCAGCAAATGCGACCATGTGTGACATTTGACACAGAAGAACTTCTCTTCCCGCTCATCTTTCAAGCAGAAAATACTAGCACAGCTACCACAAATTGTATAAAAGACATTAAATGAATAAAATAAATGTGCTAACTTCAGATATAATTACCAGAATTAAAACTGTCATCGTTGTCCTTTAGCATTTTACAGCAATTTTTTTGGATAATATTCCACTTGTTTTACCTGCTTGGCAACATTTTCACCCTCATGGCTACATTTTTTTAACATTATGAGTACCCCTTCCCATTTCGGTTATATATACAATGTTGCTCAATAAGTTCGCGGAGCGCCATCTATTCGTCAATATTAGACCTAAAACTTCGACGCCATTTTCATATTTGTTCTTTCTTAGGAACACGTCAAAAGTTTCATTTCGATCTGTTAATTTATTCAATGTTTAACCGCCCTTTATATCTAACGTGTTGCGCCTTTTCTCAGGTATGGATAAAATTGAGCAACTCGCAGTTATCAAATTCTTTGTAAAGAAAGGTTTAAAGGCAATGGAAATTCATACTGAAATGGTGAATGTGTTGGGTAATCTGCTCCTTCAAAAACAATGGTTTTAAAGTGGACTAGTTTATTCAAAAGTGGTCGTACCAGCCTTGAAGACGATCCGCGAGAGGGACGTCCAAAAACTGCATCAACACCGGAAATCATCGGGAAAATACAAGATATGGTATTGGAAGACCGTCGATTGACTGAAAGATTTAACAGAGGCTTTAGGCATTTCATTGGGAAGAGTGAGCAATATTTTGAGTGTTAATTTGGGTTTCAAAAAACTGTGTGCAAAATGGGTGCCGTATTCTCTAACGATGGAGCAAAAACACATTTGGATGCGAATTTGCAGCAACATTTGGAGCTCTTTAAGAAGAATAAAAGCGACTTTATCCGCCGATTCAACACAATGGATGAGACTTGGGTCTACCATCATGATCCTGAATCAAAACAGGAGGCTAAGGAGTGGTGTGAACCAGACTCTTCAGCGCCGAAGCGCGTTCGTGTGCAAAAATCAGCCAAGAAGCATCAGTTTTTTTGGGATGCGAAAGGAATTTTGTTTACAGATTACTTTCAAACTGGCAAAACAATTAATTCGGATTATTATTGTAACCTTTTTTTGAATCAATTAGACGAAAAAATTCGTGAAAGAAGACCCGGATTACAGAAGAAGAAAATCATTTTCCACCAAGATAATGCACCTGCGCACACAGCTCAAAAAACCATTGCTAAAATAACTGAACTGAAGTATGAATTGTTGCAACATCCAGCCTATTCGCCAGATTTAGCTCCCTCCGACTTCTGGCTCTTCCCACACCTCAAACAATATCTCAGTAGAAAACTAGTTTCTTCAAACGAAGAGGTAATAGCTGCCGTGGAGGGATATTTTGCAGAGCTGCCGAAAGACCACTACAGTCAAGGGATCCACAAATTAGAAGACTGTTGGAATAAGTGTATTGAAGTTGAGGGAAACTACGTTGAAAAATAAAGTCATTTTTACAAATAAAAATTGGTTTCTTCATTTCCGTCCGTGAACTTATTGAACAACCTGGTATATATATGGGTTTTGAATTTGTGGTAAAATCCTGAAGGGGGGGAACTTTTGGTTTATATTTGAAATATATGATGGTCCATGTTTGCTCATAAAACTTGTGGCACACTGGTAAAATCATTTATTTTCTTTGTCTAAAAACAAAATAAGCATGTAAAAATCACAATTTAGGAATAGTTTGAATTTAAAATAAAAAAACAAACATATTTATCATATAACTTTATTTACAGAACAATCAGCTCTCATGCAATGTGAGGCCTATATTAAGGTACATATCAAATTCAGTATGTAGTTTTTATATGTAAACACTCTTCTAGTATAAAACAGCTTAGGTTCTCCAACAATCTATGAGGAAGCACTTGGGTGACAGTTCCTGCAGTCCCCCAAATGATTGATCTGAGATGGAATTACAAGGCACTATTAAACCGCCTGCGGAATTTGTGTACTGTTTCACTGTAAAAGCTCTGTACTAAGAAATCGCTTACAAGTTTTAGTATATACATCTTGCTGTCCAAGAGTGTGGTGAATTCGGACTTAAAATTTATCATTTTTTTCGAACAATAAGAGACCTAACTTAGTAAGTATTAAGTGCTGTAAATTAGAAATTGACTAACAAATTTGCATGCACATATACTTTGCCGAATAGCGCGGAAGATACGAAATGTTTAAATATTTGATATCAAGCCATCACATAGATTGTTTCATCTTACAGCACAGATAACAATTTAAAAGCATATGCCAAAATAGCATTTAACTCTTCATCACATGAAATCTTCCTTTCCAAGCTCAGACAATTTTATTAGAAAATAACTGATCAAAATTGCTCATATGCTATGCAGGTCTAGAAATGAAAAACAAATTTTCAAGTTCCAAAAATTATAAAATAGCTGTAATTTAAACAATTTGCAATAACAAAATTACCAAAACCCTATATTATTCAAAGAATATCTTGAAATTATTGTAGTAAATTACAATTTTTAGTACATTAAAAAAACACTTTTCTAATGGGAAATAAGTTCCACCACTTATTTTGCTATGCAACGGCAAAAGCCATACAAAGTAAAACAATTTCTTCAAAGCATGAAAATAAATTAAAGCAGCAAATTATACAGCTTGTAATTTACAAAACAAAATGTATTCAGATACATTAGTTTTTCTCTTCAACTGCTGAAGTTAAAAATTAGGAATAAAAAAAGAGTAATGAAATATATTGGAGTATTCTTCTAGTAGTAAAAAATTCTAATCCACTTAATGTAAATTAAAATGAAGTTTTATCTCATCTACAATTTAAAACTGTAAGTAAGTAACACTGGGAGGGAAAATGCATCTAAGAAAATGCCAATACAAAATATATACTTCAAATCTAAGTTATTTTCCCTTTATATAGTAGTTTAAAAAAGAAACTTATAATGTCTAGAGGCTGGCAAACTTCAATAAAAATTTTGTAGTTTTAGATCCAACAAATACAAGTCAAATAGATGGTTGTGCATTTGAACTTTAATACTGGCAAAACCTTAATATTAATTTCAATTAAAAGATTTTTTTTAAGTTTCTTTTTTAATTGAAATTAACACCACATAAAGTTGAATTTTACCATGTATTAAAATTCAATATTAAAATAAATAAATTTTGGTATTTCAAAATCTAAAACATGGGAATTCTCACCAATTTAAACTATCACACAGTTTTAATATTTTACAAACAGATATTTGTAGAATATCACAAAATAACATAAATAAGAACAAAACAGATAAATATAACTTCAAAAAATGAATTTATATATACACAAATACCCAAGGCAATTAAAAAGGGTGGGAAAATGCAAAATGAATACATTTTCTTCGGAGCCCAAAAACATGCACCGGGAATTCAACAATTTAACTGCTAAAATCCATTTGCAGTTTGTTTAAGCCACACATGGTGACTTGATAATAATTAGTTTAAATGCAATCTCAAACTCTTATAAGGCACAAGTCCTGAAGGTAATAAAATGTGATAAATTTAATCATGTATTTGAAGACAACCAAAATAAGCTAAATATTTATATTTAAAAATGAGTTATGTCTACAAAATATTTTAAAATTTACTTCAGTAAATGAATTAGTATAAAATGCATTCATTTTGCTTATCTGATTGATGATCAGTATGAAACAACATGAAAATTAAATACTACATTAAAATATTAGCAAAAATTTGTAGAACTTCTTAAATAAGTTCAGAATAATTGTTAAAGATTAGATCAGCTGCTGATTATATTTCAGATCATTATCAGAAGCATTGAGTGTTTGTTGAAAGTATGAACTGCATAAAACTCATGTAAGCTAACAAATTAAGTAGAATTAACTAAGCATGCCATTCCTTTTCTTTTTAATGTATATATAAAATTATACCTCAGGTTTACCTTACAATAATCATCTTATAAATGTGCAGTTTTACATGTCATTTAAGAAATACAGAAATTGTTTAAAATTTTTTAATATTATGGTTGAGGGAAAAACCAAAGATGCAGATCATCTATTTGACATAGGTGCTTCCAAGATACAAAAGAGCTAAAAAGTCCAGCACTGCTTCAAGAAGTTAATATAAAAGTTATTTAGTCATCAGAAAATAGTCACCACATATTTTTAAAATCAGTAACAGTCAGTGTCAAAACAAATGCTCTCTTTTTAAACTTTTTTGATAAATCAAATATTTAACTACAAGTAGCATAATATATTAATATACCATGCCAACTCGTTCATCCACAATGATTTCTTCAGAAAAAACAATATGTTTGGATGACATCGCAAGACCTTCAAATTGTGCTACCATCATATCAACACTTCGAGTGCGTCCACTTTTTTGTTCTTCTTGATCAGAAGTAGAGTTTCCACTTGGTTTGGGTGAAAGGCTTTTGTTAAAGCCATTGCTTCGATTTGATTTCATGTCTGTAGCTGGTGAGAAACAACTGGATTTGTTATGGTCTTTCTTATAAGGTGAAAAATGAGTCTCATGAGAGTCTGTAGAGGAATCCAAATCATATTCAGTAGTAGTGCTACCTGGTGTTGGTATGAGGGTTAATTTAATGCCCGAAAGTGGACTGCCAGCTTCAGTGTCATTCAACCAAGGATGAGAGAGACATTCTTTAGCTGACATGCGCTCACTGAAAGATTAAATCAAATGTTAAAAATACAGCCTTTCTCAGTTATAAATTTTCTATTAGTCGTTAAAAAATAATTGAATTCCCACACACCCACAAAAATAATAATAAAATTTAAAAATAAAAATCTGAAAGTTTTCAGATTTTATATTAAGACCAAAGGGACTTTTTTTAACGTTTTGTGCATTACCTTTATTTATTAAATATGTTCCCAGGCTCAAAGCTCTTTTCCTAATGATGTTTTCATAGGTCCATGTAATTAATTTTTCATCACCAGTTATTATTCAGTGCAAGAAGGGTTCGCTTTTGTTTTCAACAGGCAGAGATGTGCATACAATGACTCAATCATACAAATTTTTTTCACTTTTTTCTTAACTCGTGAGGCAACCGTCTGGAATATTTATAGACTATTTATAGTTTCTGAAATAGTTTGCTGATCTGAGTTAAGCTTTTCTGCAATCTCTGAAGTTGTCAAAAAAGGATTTTGTTTTATCATGGTTTTCAAAATATTGTCATCAAATCGGAGATTATCGTCTATAGAGTGGCTTGCCATTAAGGTCAAATCACCTTAAAATTTTTCAAATAATCTTCTGCACATTTTATTCAAAATTGTATCTCCATTGAAAACATTTATGAATTTTTGACATGCTTCTGTAGCATTTCTTTCTTTTAAGAGTTCATACAAAATACAGTGTTGTAAACGAATTTTATCAGTAGCTATGTTTACACGATTGCACCTCACTTAATAATGAGATGAGACATTTTTGTTTCAATTAATTTAAAAGAGCACGTGTGTATAAATGCAATGATAAAGAGAGACATCCATGTACATATATCTCAAATGGTAATGTGCATGCATGTTTAAACGTGAAATAACATTAATAGACAAAACATTCTGTTAAACCTCATATAGCAGCACTATTTCACAAGCTATAAAAGTTATAAACAGGAGAACATCTACTTTAATAGAATTTTAGAACATCAAACATTGTCCAAAGCACAGAATTAACCACAAGCATTATGGAACATACCATACCACACAGTGTAAATGATTTCACTAATTTTGAAACTTGGTTTGCTAAAGTGGCTAATAACATAGTGGAAATACGACAGTAATTTTTTATAGCTCTGCCTAGCTCTTCACTTCTGTCAACTATTTACTATGGTAGCTTTGCTGTCTAGCTCTTTACTTCTGTCAGCATAACTAATCAAGTACTAATGAAATAAATAGATTATGGAACAACTTACATAGATCGAATGGGAGAACACTGACAACTGTTTACAAGCAACTGCATTAAAATTACCAACTGAATAACTATAAAAAATTACTCATATGGTTGAAACTGCAACAGAGCATATTATGAAAGCTGATCTGAATATTGAGCTTCACCAAATTATAAACAAACGATATTGTAATTTTTAGAGAATAAAAAATTATGAAAAACATGCATTTTTAAAAATTATTTTTGTACTTATTATAATGATAAACATCTGAATTTATTAACTAAAACAGATTTTTTCCTCTCCTTTCTTAAAGATTCAATAATATTTTGTACACTTTTAGTTTTTTAAGTAGTCTGGGATATTGGGTAATACAGATTACCCACACTATACACTGTATGTTGTAATTGGTTTCTTCTCATTCATTTTAAAATCTTGAAACACTGATATGTTTCAATTCAAACTTAACCTTATTCTTGTGACTACTTTAATCATCATTTAGATAGAAATACTACTTATTTGCATAAAAATTCATAATAAATTTACCATTTTCAAGTCAGCCAAGTTATTTAATGTGATCAAACTAATGCAAAATGAAGTCAAACTAGGAATGCATGATGACAGTATATGAATTAGGATAATGGGCTAAAGAATGATGGCCCTCTGATTAACAGATACATAATGCATAGTGTAAACACCTCTTTAGAACACACTAAAGTCACAGTCTATAGTTTAATTATGAATATAGTCTTCCTAGAAAAACTACATTTGTAATTAAACCACAGATTGCTACAGCTCTCTAGGATATTATCTTCATCAGAAGTATAGAATCTTTCATAACTTAGAAAATGTGGATTAAGTACAAATTAGTTAACAAGAGGAACTAATTTTTTTTATGTGTTGCATCTACTGATTTATCCTAAGTGTCAAAAAGCACAACCTTTAAATAAATGACAAAACAAAGAAAGTTGAAGAAAATAAAGTGCTGAATGCCTAACAGATACGATTTGTGTGAAAATTTGTAAAAAGAAGGAACAAATTTTAATCATTTATCCAGGACTAAAAAACTGACAAAAAATTTTTAGTTCTGAGCTTAAAATAGCTAAAATTTACTGTTACTTGACACTAAATACATGAGGCAGTATAACATAAGCTTCTAAGTTATTAAAAACAAAGGACTAAGTGTTCGTCATAGTTAATGCAATGAAACTTTCAGGATGGTATCAGTTATACAGTTCAATTAAAAAATTATCTTTGCAAACTCGATTCTACCTGTATCCATTTGCTGACTTTCCAAAACAAAATTTTTATTAGTTTTAAAAACAGTAAAGTGTTATGGCAAAAACATACTGACCTAAAGAGAAATACTATGAAACTATTTTTTTAATTTCCAATTACAGATGAAGATAGATGCTTCTTCTGATAATGTCTAATGAAGCAATTTAGAGTACTTAGTTTTTTTAATGTTCTGAAATTTCTTGGTACTAAAAAGTGTAATAATTTGTAATTTTACTTTTACTGAGTTTACTATACAGAAAGGAGAAGCCTTGAATCAGTTGAGCATAACTCTCTCTAAATTGAAAGAGAATAGATAGCCTATAAATTATATCACTAAGTGCCTTTGCTCCCTGAATTTTTTTTATTATTCAGAACTTCTACTTATCTTGCGCAAAGCTGAACAGAGCAATATCTATAGTTCCATTTCAGTTTTTTTTTTCCCTGTTTCTCTTTATTTATTAATTTTTTTATCAAAATAGAGCTTCATTAAAGGTTTGCATATTCATCTTCATCTGGCCTGCTTATTTGGATCCTTATATGCCATCAAAATGTACAATATACAAAATTAATTTTATTTTTTTACTTCAAAAATAGTAATATCTTAGTTCAGCAGAATAGAATATTTTTCTTAATATATTTTGCAGCAGTAAAAAATAAAGTTGTGTTTTTAATTTCAGAGACTACATTGATAAAAATGAATTTTATTTGTTCATTTTAATTGGAATGAGAGTATGTTTAGAAAATTGTTTAAAAATTACTGAAAATAATGTGTTTTGTATTTTTCAAAAATAAAAATATTTAAATTTTCTTACTGTATTTTTTTACTGCAGTAAAATAAATGAAAAAATAAAATTCCCTTAGTTGTACAACAGTAAATGCTTATTTTGGTATAAGGTAAAAGGAACGTCAGTCATTCAAATATTTTAATATTTAGATGGGCTATGAAGTGGCTGAAGAGCAAATGCAGTATGGTCTTACAGGTGCAGGAAACCAGTTCAAAAGACATTGAAATCTAAAGATGATGATACTTAAAAAATTACATTTACAAAAAGCAGTTAAATATATTTTAGTTTGTAATAATATTCAAGTATAAACAGCAATTTGAACATAAATATTAAAGAACATAAAAAATGCAAACTAAATGTATGAACTAAACTATGGTTATAAAAAGTATGCTGCGATGTCTTAATATGAAATAATTTAATAAAATGCAATAAATATTTTTAATTGTTAAGTAATATGAAAAAGGTGCATTATGCAACTGAACATTGAATTATGATGTGCAAAACCCTAAAATGAAACAAAAATAACAAAACGTGTATATAATGTGTATAAACAAACATAAGAAACTGCACAAGGAATGTTGAAAATTAAAAAATAACACTACTATCATATTTTTTGAAGGAAAAATTCATTTAAATCATTAATCATGTTGCCATTTTCATGTTAATTTAATAAATGTTTCATAAGTCAACAAAAAAAATGCCTTTAAATAACATTGTATTTATTTTTTTATAATTATGTCTTACATTATAGATTTAAAATTGAACAGTTTTTTTTTTTAATCCAGGTAATAAAAATATGACATCTAAGAGGTAAATCTGATAAATATTCTCCAAATAAAATTCATTAAGGACTAAAATTTTAATTAATTTATACTTAAATGCTTATTACAAGTTTAAATAATGTACGAATAATACAGAATTCCCTAAAAACGAATATAACTTCCATTCTTTGAATTCCAATCATTCTTAGGAATTACTTCTACCTTACTAAATCAAATAAAGCATGTATAGCATACTTTTGCATCTAAAATCCAATTATTATTTATTACTGCTTTACACACAATGCATAGAAGTTATTTTTATTTTGCAGATTTTTCAGTTTCTGCTTAGTAAACAGACATACCACAGATAGGTCCTCCCAGGAACAACTTCCAGGAATGAATTTAGGAATAAGTTCTTTACCTAGCCTGTTCAAAATATTGACAATTCCATTTCTAATTACCACATAGCAGCTACCCTCCTTTTCCCCACGATCAGATGCTTGTCATTAAACATCCAACAGGAATAGCCAAACTCATTTACTCATTAACCAGCCAAACTCAGCTGGTTGCTGAAGGTGCTGTACAAGGTGCAATATGTTTCTTTTCTTGGTGTAATTAAATTTCCTCTCTCATTATATGTTGTTGTTTTGTGCTGCATGAATTTTGCAGTTATGAATAATGTTTTATCAATTTTTAATTAAACAATATCAAGTGAAAGTGTGGCACCATCTGCACTTCAAAAAAATCTCCGATGTCCTATCTATCCCTGACTCTGGTCTCCATTTGATTAAGATATTTGGAATTCTAATGTATTCCTTTAACCCTCTGAGCGTTATGACCAGGTTTAGGCGGTCAAAGAGAGCTACCTCAAAAGCGTTACCGACGCTTCTAGGCAGTCATTGGAAAAGTGTTACTGATGGTTCTAGGCGGTCAGTGGCGACGACATCAAAAGTGCTAT